TTGGCTTCGCGAAACTTTTTGTAAAACTTTTTTATCGTAGAGTTGTCAGATCTATCTTGAAAAACGTCTTATAGAAAAAAATAGAAATAAGATATATTGTATCAGGGTGAAAAAGGACAGAAAAAAACATTTTAAACTATTTTTCATTCACCTAAAGTGCAATGAAGTAAGTATTCTTTTATTTTTTTCTTGTAGTAAACTTACGTAGTACACGGCTCCACAAACTTGGTGTGAACAAAGTTTATTAAAAAATACATATTTATCAAACCAATGATAACCAATTTATAACTAATAATATTTTCCTACTTGCATTAAAAATGCGTATTTTCTCTRCATGAATCTTCTTAGGAAGGCATGGCAGTTTTTTGGCTTTGAAGACGTCGCAAGCCATTCCAGTGGAACACACTAGGTTAACGTTTTTGCCGTTACACTTTCAAATAAATTAATCATCTCAGTTGTAAGAAAAGATTTATCAGTGCCCGCTTTGCCTTGTATAAGAAAATTATGCCCTGCTAGTGCTTGGTCTAAGCAATACTTTTGCTCTAGCGTCAACCTAAACGGCAGAGAAAATACACGTTTTTAATAAACTTTGTTCACACCAAGTTTGTGGAGCCGTGTACTACGTAAGTTTACTACGAGACTACTTGACGATTCCTTCCTAAGACGATTCATGCAGAGAAAATACGCAAATCCGGTAATAAGTTCATTTATTACCGGATTTGGTACAAAAAATCCAGCCTCTTCTGCTCTTCTGATTTGAGGATATTTTACCGACTGGTGCCAGCAATAGTTAGCATTGTTAGTCCAGCGGTTTCCCCCGTTTGTTCTTGCCGCCATTTTGTTCAAAGGTGCATGAAAAACAGGAAGAAGCARGCTCTGAACAAAAATACGACCAAATCTACATTCATACTGACCTAACTGAAAATGTTTTCATCTGGCACAACTGCCTTTGGAGCCGGCACGACTAATTTCAGTGGGTTTGGCGGTGGCGTCAGTACGACTAGTAATACTTTAGGGTTAGGTACATTGGACAATCCAATGAAGGACATCGCGGTACAGTCGCCTCCAGATGACACAATCAGTGCTATTCGCTTCAGTCCTATAGCTGATTTTCTCATTGCTTCATCTTGGGCTAACGATGTAAGTRTACTCCTATCATCTTCTAGTTATCTGTCCTCTTTTAAAAGGAGCTCTTTAGATATGAAAAGGAAGACGAACTGGTTGAAGTGAAAATTATTGAGGCTTACCAAAAAAGTTTTCAAACATTGAGAATATTTCAAGTTTATCAWAAACTAACATAAGATTAACGCTATTCGAACATAACTACGAAAGTTCAAGGAAAGAATGCTGGAAATATATGATATATATATTTATTTTGCATATCCAAACTTTTTCATTTAAAATYTTTAAAACTTGCTAACTATGCACAATTTTATATAGTCTTTATTCTCTACTTTCACATCCCCATAATGCCTTGC